ATAATTATAGAATACCCTAATATAAGATTTGTTTGTAAAAAGATCATAATTTTTCCGGTGGCACATCAAAACACCGTGCTACAATTACACGATAACATAGTAGCTGAATGCAAGGACGGAGTGAAAGCTGCCACCGATTGCGTCACAACTAACCACGCAACATTTTGCAAGCTAGCCGCGCATGATACATGCGCCCGCGGATTACACTCAGGCGAATCAGCCATATGCCGAACGCAGCCCAGTCACCTGGAACCTATGACAAGGGTTGACGAAGGAATGATCATCATCAACCAGCCTGCGAGCGTTAGTATAGATGGAAGCCCCACAATATATGTCAGGGGAACTAATCTCATAACGTTTGAGCGCAACGCCATGGTAAACGACACCACGTATCTCAACCACGATAAAACTGTCGATATGGTTCCTTGCATTCCGACTTCACCTTTACTGAACATTACGGGACACGATCACGTGCTAAGCGTACCCCTACTTCTGCGAATGAATGAACACAACCTGCACGCCATTAGGGAATTAAGCGACGACATGTCATCTAACGGATCTCCCAAGTTCTGGTTCGCCATTGGAGTAATTATCAGCCTCCTGTTCTGTAGCCTCATCGTAGTTGGCCTATGTTGTTATCGGAAGAACACCTCGATTAAGTTGCAGAGATTCATCCAGGAGTTGCGCATCACCGAGGACGGCAATGAACTTAAAGGGGGAATAGTTAACAACCAAGTTAACGAACAACCCTCGCGTTAAGTTCGGAGCAACCCACGCAGCTAAAACATCAACGTATCGGATTTCGGTTGCACTGCGAATGCAACGTCTGCAAAATATGCTATTGCGGGCATTAGCAGTTTTCGTTATATGTCGCAATCGCAGACATTGTAGCGCTAACATAAATATGCCGGCATAGCTCCGCGCGGCCGACAGCCCATGGCGTGATCTTTATATAATATGTATTTAGGTTTGGATTCATATTTCCCTTTTATGTACTTAGCTTTAGTCTTTTATTCATTTCATTGTCACGATCAGTTCTGTTCCAATAACGTAAGCTAACGCACGTTGAATAAACATTGCTCCGGCAATTGGCCGTATAATCTTGACTTATTAATTAATATATCACTGAGCCACAAGGCCAGTGATCTGATACTTAACTGTATCTCAACCTAATCTACATTATCAACTAACAACCTGGATCTACCCGACGGCATCCCCTTACGAGGACCACTGGAGCGGATAGACCTAAATAACTTGCACACATACATTCAAATGCGTGTATTCTTTTCTATTCCAAGAATTGAAATTGCGCTTGAATTGTGCTGAATTATTAGCTGCTACTTATGTTCAAATTTGCAACAGCTCGCATAAGAAGAGCAGTGGCTGCGTTGGTAGAGGCGGCGCTAGTATGCAGCTCGGTCCGGGGTTCGAGACCAGTGGAGATGAAAAATTTTTTATTGCTTTTTTTTTTTTTAATTATGAAGTGGCGGTGTTGGTAGAGTTGGTGCACGTTGCGCAAATAATCCGGGTTCGAAACCTGGTCACGCAATGTCGATTTTTATTTGTTTTCTTTTTTTTTTGAATACTCGATACAAACTACGGAAAATTAAAAAAACTCAGAGGACTGGGATCAGGGTATCTCCTAGTCGGGCACCCCGACTAGAGCTTTCTTACTTGTTTTTTTTTTTTTTGTTTTCGCTAGGTATATGTTTTAACTAATTGACACGACGTTAATTATAACACATTGTTTTGAACTTGGTCCTTTTGACTTTGTGATCATGTTTATATAAAAGTTTTGTTTCATGCTTTGTACTATGAATTTCTAATGTCACTCGGGCCGGTCTGTAGTCAACTATACTTTAGCGACCAGCAACGAAGATGCGCAGTGTGAGAACCCCACACGATTAGACGAAAATTGACAAAGTATTTTTTAAGTGCAGTTAATTGATAAAACAAAGAGCTAAAAAATGTGAGCATGTAATAACGTAATAATATAAGTATTTCCTGATGAATTAAATCTATAGTAGCAGATCTCGACTGACGTGTCAATAATCGAAAGTCTTCAAAGTTAGCTGATTATCTTTCTGTTGACTCCATGTCACGCACCTGGATGGTGATTAGTCCGTTCCTTTCTCATGCGGACACCTTCCCCAGTCATACACGAATATTTCTCGATTTTTCCGTGCGGCAATTGCGACGATTCGAATACATTAGCCTACCAAGCATTATTTCATACGTTGTTATTCTAAAATTTTAAAAGAAGATCTATAGCACTCAAAAGTCAAATTTGTTTAAAATAATGACTTATCCAATGTACATGAAACCTAATTAAATGTTTATCATATTCAGTTCATATTCATGTCTTTGAAGCTTAATTATGCTTTTTGTTTATTTTATATTTAAAATACCATCTCCTCACAAAAATGGTTGAAATGGAAATTATGTTCCAAAAATAACTAATATGTGAATAGGGTTTAATTTGTTTTGATATACCACTGCTTGTTAACACATGTTTAAATCATAATAGAACAAAGACATATAATAGCAATTTTCATGAAACAGGCTCGAACAGTATAGATCGCTGTAGCTCATTCTTTTGTATTCAACATACAGTGGACCAATAATGTCTTCGTACAGCAATAATTTTTTTCTTTGGCAACGAATAAGTGATACAAGATAGGCAAAAATTAAAAATTTAAATTTACAGATTTATTAACTAATATTTTAACAATTTGGAAAAAAATAATATCCCCCATACCATCACACCACCACCACTATGCTTTACTATCTTAATTGTGTTTTTTGGATCTAGTGCCTCTCCAGCTCTTCTCCACACAAGCAGTCGTCCATCTGATCCAAATATATTAAACTTTGATTCGTCTGAGAATAATATATGACGCCAGAACTCAATTGGTGCATTTTTGTACTGATGAGCAAACTCCAAACGTTTTTTACTATTATCCTTACTTATAAATGGTTTTCGTTTGGGAGTGCACGACTTATACCCGCTAGCAACTATGGCTTTTCGAATAGTTTCTGGATGCACTTCCTTGTTCGATGACTTCAAAAGCTCTGCACTTATCATATTTTTACTAATAAATGGATCTGAGGATACCATTCGTTTTATATTCAGCTGATCCGAGCTTGTCAAAATTTTCGGTCGTCCTGATTTTTGCTTATTTTCTACTCGCCCTTCATATTTAAACCTTCCAATGACAGATTGTACTGTAGAACGACTTCGACCAATTATTTCCGCAATTTCCGAATAGGATTTTTGTTGCTTAACATGCATACTTAAAATAATATGGCATTCTTCAATTGTTAAATGTTTTCCTGGCATTTTTAATCAGTTTTTGTCCACTCGCCAACTAAATGTACATAAAAAATACTTCGAATTTATTTCGCTATGCGTAAAATACATAAGCAACATTTCGCAAAAAACCGTTATCATTTTCGCTTTTTGTCTGCAGTTAAAGTTCTAGGAAAGTACGCTGTACGAAGACTATTGGAGACACTCCCAGATCGAAATGATGGGATCCAATTTCAAAAAGAAAAATTTAAAGTATCCAAAATCAGCCTATAAATATAGCGACAACCAGTAATAAGATTATGTGATGATCATCGGACTACAAAAATGTATTGCACAATAAAAAGTCTGCGATGAGCATCAGCAATCAGGCATCAGGCAATAAAACGTAACGAGCCAGATTCTTCAAAGAGGTACAGCGGCATCAATATCAAAATTGAAAATCTACTATTTTGACGTTTTTCAACCAATTATGTACACCATAAAATTGTCAAAGTGAAGAAAAGGTTCGACGCACAGCATCATTATTGTTCGTTGCCAACAGGTGAAACAATCGCTGGTCACGTGTAAGTTAGTACTTATTGAAATGTCACGCTGAGCCAAAGAAAAAAAATTATTTCAAAATTGTTTTTTCTGAGAAGCTGAGAAGCAGATCAACTATTCGACTTCACGCGTCATCTTTACCATCGACGCAATACATTGTCTGCTCGTAAAGTTACAAATACTTAACGGAACCTATTAACCACGGAACCTATTAAGCCTTGACTTTTCATAAAATCAATTGCTATCATTGCTAGAATTTCGAAAATATATATTTACTTTTGTTTTAGATTATACAGTATTTGATCTATTTGACGCAAGTCACAGACGAAATGTTCAAATTATTAATTTAAATGTGTAATTGCATCTGTTTTTCTGTAAGTAATATATATGGGTGTAAGTAATATATATATTTATTATATATATATTTATTTATTAATTCTTCGGGGATCTACATATAAACAAATTTTCTGAGATCAACTGCAGATAGAAAAACGGGTATATATATATTGTATATCATCGAAGAATCAATAAATATTCATGTCATCGAACTGCAGTTATTGAATAATATCGCTTAAATTTTTCAAAGAGGAATCTACAAATTTTTAATTTACTTTCATGTAGATTCTTAACAGTTTTTGGTTTTACAGTAACTAAATATTCGAAGATAGACACCCTCATATTGCTTAGATGTATGTAATTTTTTAAGCCAATAAAGAAGGCCACTAGTAATTGGGTCGTTAAATTTAGAGTTATAAGCTTTTAAAATGTAGAATATACAAAGTTAAACACTCCTCTTTCTGCGTATTACAGAGAATTGAATAACTATTACGACTAATTTCTCAAAGGCTACTAAAAATAAAATAAAACAAGTAATCAAGCTCTAGTCGGGGTACCCGATTAAGAGATATTCTGAATTTATTCCTATTGTAATATTTCCCATAGCTTGTATCGAACATAAAAAAAAACAATTACAACCGAAATTAGGACACCAAAATGAAATTTTCAGCATATGATCTACATATTATATCGGAGTAATTGTCAGCTAAGTAAAAATTCAAACTCCTCCTTCTGCCTGTTACATACAGTTAACAAAATCAGGGTATAATGAAAAAAATCTACGAACTCCCTTTTTTTGGGTAAAATATGATACCTGTGCGTTAACGAAATGGAAGCACGACGTTGCTCGATTAAGTTTGCTGTTGGAATCCGTAAGCACGCCTCTGCACAATCTTTGGTTGCCTGATGTCGTATGCAAAAGTTCCGTTGCATACGTTCCAAAACTTCACAGCTTTCTGAATTGCTATTTTAACAGTTAACTTATTATATACTAATAGATTGTTTGATCATTTACCTGTTAAACGGCATTGATAGCTCATCGACATTAGTACTACTGGACCGAGAAGGTAATAGAACAGCTATATTTATATTATTAGGTGGAATCACAGGTACATCAGATGCTAAACTTATATTTGGCTCATCCCATGGACATATAAAAATATCTGATAGTGCTGGCTGGATATCCACAGAAGTGTCTAATTGAACGAGTTTTATGTTCGGTGATTCTCTGCGTTACATGAAAACAACCATTTTAGAATATATAATATATTTAGCAGTTAGTTCAATAGAGTGGATGAGTAATTCTTTCAGATAATTGGACTTAGTTTACATTTTTTAGTTTGTGTGCGTTCTCGTTTCCAACAAGTAAGAAAATTCAAGTCGGGGTGCCCGACTAGGAGATACCCTGAACCCTGTTCTGTCCGCGTCTGTTTGATATTTTTACATAGCTTGTATCGAGCATAAAAAAGAAGTCAAAACATACCCTAGAACACCAAGATTCGAACCACTTTACCAATTAAAAAACAAAAAACGTCCCGCCGCCGCCATTGCACACAAAGCTTCTCGGCAACAAGCGCCGCACTGCACTGCACTGCTTGTGTAAGAAGTTAAAAATCACAATTAAAGTAGCAGCTTTCAGTTCAAACACAATTCAATCGTAATTTCGAATGTCTTCGAATATAAAAGAATGTACGCATTTGTGAAGGAAAAATGCGCACGCTTGGCCAAATGTTGGCCAAACTATTCCGTTTTACTCAACGGATTTGAATGAAATTGTTATATGATCTGCATATTCTGTCGAAGTACTCGTCTGCTTAGTAAAACTGCAAACTCCTTTACATATTGGTTCTATTTCCAACTAAACTTAATTTAAAGAGCTGGCGTGCAAATTATAACAAAATAAGAATTGTAGAAAATATACAGAAAGCTTAATACAAAATCATTGGAGATATAAATAATAACTATATATCGACCATGTTTTTAATCGATAACTATAAAATAAAAACAGTTATCGATTATTTGAAACAAACTGGCTACGCGCGGGTTATACCGGGACCTATATAATTTCGAGACTTTACCTTTGATATGGACAGACGAGCAGGTGGACGGACGGACAGCCAGACGGAAAGGTCTCAATAAACTCGACTTGTCATCCGGATCAAGAATATATATATTTTATAGGCCCTGACGCCTCCTTTTATAGAATTAAAACAACATCATTAAACCTTTATTTCCCATTTTCAATGGGTTTAGGGTATAAAAAGTATTTTTTGCCCATTGAATATTATAACTAAATATTATTGATTTGGAATTGGTGATCCAAAAACAGTAGAGCTACTTAACACGTGGACTTTGACATAGGACAATATGATTGAAATTCTGATAACATTTTTTACTATTTTTACTTAATGCGCCGTGCTGATCAACAATATATATTTTTATGAGGTATCTCATACATTCTTCTGCCTACTGCATGCAATGTGCACAAAAAGATTACATGCTGTACTCAGAATTTCAATGAACCAATAGTATGACCGAGTACAACTGTATCTTTGCTAGTTTTACAATTGCAATTTCGAAATATAGCAATTGGCTTACTGTTGACCTTCTCAGATCGACTAAAAATAGAAATCCACGCTTAAGTGGGAATGGAAAATCCTATTTACCGCTGACATGCCAACCATATCGGGCACTAGATTACTGGGTGCCAGTTATACCAACTCACCAAAGACCGCCAGTAACATAGACACACCATTAACACCTGGCTAAAAAGATGGAATGTGATGATCAATTTTAAGAATTTAACTCTAACCACTTTTGCGTTAAGAAGAGGAGACTGTTCTTCCGTCCAATTGGACGGATCTACTTCCCTTAGCAGTGAATGCTGCTTAACAAAAAACGAACCCGGATGCCTTCCCTAATTAACAAAAAAGCAATTCACTACAAGACTGAAGAATCATCTCTGGTTTGTCGGAAAAAGATCTACCTTACGGCTGCGCGTCAAGCTACTAGGATACCACCAGCATACTATAACATTATAAGAATATTACAACACTGCATTTTGAATATTTTTAACCGATAACAGTGTAACTGAAATAGCTATTGGTTATTTGAAGCAAAATTGATATGCGCATGGTACATAACTACAAATAAGTCTAAAGCTCTTATTTGTTCTGAGATCTACGCATTCATACATACGGACAGAAAAGACTGACGGGCACATACACAATACATAGTTTTTGTCGTCAAAAAATTTTTAAAGTTCTGATTTTGTTCAGGCGTGCAAATACAGCATATTCAATAATTCTACGTTTGCCGTCTATGCCCTCAACCACTTGCAAGGAGTCCAATAAGAATAGATCAAATTACATGCTTAGAATTTAAAATTAGACATACCAACGCTGAGTCTTACACACTCAGTATAGATAAGTTACATTTAAGGGATCAAATACGTTTGAGTTCGGGTATAAGAACTATAGCTCAAACGAGTAAAGATCATAACACAACTGACCACCACCACAATGGCGTTTACCTTTTTATGTGTACAATCTACAAGGCTACGTTTGTGATAAGTGTAAAAGTGAAGTGAAAAATTGTTTAAAAAATTTTCTTTGGCTTACCAATTCGAGCTGTGAGTAGAGGCACAGCACGATCAGCCAGGAGATCAAAACAAAAACACCTCCAACCTATCAAGCCAAAGACTAAATCAGGAACAAATTTTCACACGAAACAACACAATCAAAATGCTGTCGGAAAAAACTCTGGAGTTGCTTAAAAAGCAATCAGAGATCTATGACAAGATCCGGCAGAGCATCACAAACAAGGATGAGTTTACTGCCAATAATCTAACGCTGATTATTTGTATTATGAATGTAATTGTTGTTGTTGTCATTAATCTTAGTTTCTAGAGTGAGTAGATTGTATATGTGTAAATGACTGTATTGGGATTGCCCCGTTCCTTATTCGTATTTTCAACGGTTTCTTTTAATCTTTTTACGATTCACTACACTGTCTAACTTGTATTGTTTTTGATTGACTTCTTCTAGTATTGATGTTTTTTGGTTCGTACAATGGTGTAGGTGTGGGGAGTCTTTTCATGATGTTTGTGTCATAGTTGGTCAGGTTAACAACGTGTTCCAATGCTCTTAATCCGGCGATATCTCTTGAAGTCTCCGCATTTATGAACAAGATTGGTTGTTTACTGTCCAATAGCTAGAAGTCTAAGAGCTGTCCATGTAGTGTTGTGCGTATGTAAATCAGTTTGTAGTGTTAGTTAGTCGTTAAATGGTTTTGCGAATTTTTTTTTTTATGTATTTTTTGGTTTCTGGCTGTTATAACAGGGTCGGGCCGCTATCTTCTTTAACTTTGTGTTTTGTAAATCTAGCTGTTAATTTATTGCGTCAATTTTTTCGCCTGAAGACAACGTCGTTTTCTTCTAAAGTGGGTGGGTTAGGTATATTGTCGTTGGTTTTTTCTACAAGTTTGATTTTAGCTTGATGCATTTTCTTTTGTAATTGAGAATAGATTTTGGCGCGGAATTCGTTGAATTTAGTTAGGTAATAATGCTCGTTATTTATCTTAATTGCAAATAGTTCAAAGGGTGTGGTTTGTACTAGAATGTACGGCGTTATTGTATGTGATTAGGCATTCTGTCAAGATTTCATCATGTTCTATTTTTGATTTTGTCTGTTTAAATTTGTCTTCGATGAGTCTATAGATTTCTGTCAGAGTCGAGTGGAATCTTTCGATGGGCGAGTTGTTTGAGGACTGTTGAAAGGAGGTCGTATTGTCGTTTTGTATATTGTATTGTCCGCAAAAATCACTGAATAGTTTCCCTGAAAATTCTGTGCCTTGGTCGTAGACAAGTTTTTGTGGTATGCCGAAAAGGCTGAAAAAGGGATTCAGGTTCTTAACAATGTTGACTGTATTTCTGCTTAGGAGGGGGTAGGCTTGTGTGAATTTAGCAAATTTATCTATTATAGTTAGATTACAATTGTTATTTATTGTGTAGACGTCTAGGTGAACTATCTTTAAAGGCATGTTAGGTGTTTCGGTTAGTAGTTGGGGAACTGGTTGAGGTTGTCTGTCGTACTTTAGAGTTAAACAAGTGTCACAGTTTTTTATGAGGTTTGTTATTTTGCTTTCATTTGTGGGAAATAGTACTGTCGTTTGAGGTGTGCATACGTGTCGTCGATGCCCCTATGATTGTTGTCAATGTGATATTTTTCAATAGTTTTAGTTTGGTCTTCTGTGCCAGTGATGTCTTCGAGTAGGGATTCACAACGTACAATTTTGTATAGTTTATTGTCGGAGAAATATTTATTGAAGGATTCTTTAATGAGTTGAAAAATATCATCCGTTGTGAGTACTGCAACTACTTTGCGTGGTTTTAAAATTAGTTTCAGCATTTTGGTTACTTCTGTCAAGTTGTATGTTTGTCGGGTTATTGTTTGTCTTAGCTTGTTTTTGAAAGTTGCCATTGAAGTGATGTTAGGATGTTGTCCACTCTTTATAATGCATTGGGTACTGAAATCGTTAATGACGTTCTTTGTAGGTACACTACTTTCGAGCTGGTCTTAGCTATTGTCTTTCTGATTTAGGTGTATTTCTATTCTGCTGAGGGCGTCAGCAATGACATTTTGTGACCCTTTTTTGTATATAACGTCAAAGTCGAATTCGTTAAGGCGAAGCTTCCAACGAACCAACTTTGAGCTAGGATCTTTAAAGTTCATAAGCCACGTTAGTGGTCTATGATCTGTTACGATCGTAAACTTTTTGCCAAAAAGGTATGGCCGGAAATACTTGGTTGCCCATACAATCGCTAGCATTTCTTTTTCAACCGTTGAGTAATTTACTTCAACTTCCGTCAGAGTTCTGCTGGCGAAGCATATTGGTCTGTCATTGTTTAAGCGTACCTGTGACAAAACGGCACCTAGAGCAAAGTTATTTGCATCTGTCGTTAGGGTGAATGGCCTTTCGTAGTCGGGATATTTAAGTATGGGGTCGTTGCAAAGGAGGGTTTTTTAGAGCTAGAATGCGTCCAAGAAATCTTGATCTATAACAATGGGCTTTATCCCTTTTAATTGGGTTTGGAAATTTTCGCGAAGTCCTTAATAAATTTACGATAGTACCCGAGCAAACCTAGGAAAGACTTAATGTCTGCGATTTTTGGGTAATGGAAAACTTTTTACAGCCTCAATTTTTGTTGGGTTTGGTTTTATCCCATCC